CTCTCTTACATAACTTTCCTTACAGAATTTACATACCTCGGCTTATTTGACATGGGCTGATCAAGTTGATGCCACACATCTTGCGAGATGGAGTAGGTAACGAATACATCTTGCACTTGAAAATCAGAGTTTTGGCCACCGAAGACAGCGATTACGTCGAATTTTGACAAATAACAAGCCGTGTGATATGCCAATGATGGGCCACTGGCACGAGGTGTCCAAAGGAGAGTGTTTGGATCCTGTCATTTGGCAAAATGGATTACCGTTAGTTGAAATAATACAACAAGATGAAATATTGTAAGTGAATCTCGTTTGCGAATACTCCCCTAGCCTAATTTCTAGACTCTCATATGAAGAAATCCCTATCCAATATGTCAACGCTTCTTAACCTATCACAGCAAATTAACCACCAGTTCGCTCGTACGGCCTTCTTCAGTTATTATCTATGTACAATCCCACACAACCACTCTCAAAAGAACTATTCATTGTCATTGAAACTCACTAGCAAGTTATTGGTGGTCTGTGCTTGATTTCCTTGTACATCAAGAGCTCGTCCAGCATATCGATATATGCTGTCATTTGCAGCTGTAAGTGTTACGCCTATGCGGAAGTCTGATGGCGTGGATGCTAATAAAAGATAGTTACAAAGAACAAATAATAGGGTTATTACGTATAATCCATGTTTGCGCTTCCTCTAATACTAAAATCAATTGATTTATTCTTGTGTAACCGAATAATATGACATTTGAAGACTGAATCTACTCCATCATTCTTTATTACTCGAAACACTATTTTACGTTCAACTGATCCGTGACCCAATTATCAACGCCAAACACACCAAAATCCCAACGAACTTACAAGTGGTAATCTCTTGCCAACTCCACTGTGTTACATCCAGAACTGCAGCATTCTTTGTCTGATCCGTCGTATTAGCAATTAGGACGAACATTTTCCCGGTTGGGAATTCGACGCAGGGCGCGAACTTTTGTGGAAGAGGTATCGTGCTTCCGGCAATGGCAGTTATGCTAGGTCTGTACCATTGTTCGTCGACTAGATTCCAAACTAAGACGTTGTTACTTGCAGCAGGACTTGTAAAGATGTCAATCGATGAAGAAGTTACGCCGCCGAAGATGACCATGTAATTAGATATTATATAGGCGGAATGGCCGGCACGCCAGGGAATGTCAAATATGGGTGGTCCAAGGAGGGATTGCGCGCATGTGAAAGAAAGAGA